TGTGTGTGTGTGTGCGTGCGTACGTGTGTGTGTGTGTGTGTGCATGCGTACATGTGTGTGTGTGTGCGTGCGTGCGTACGTGCGTGCGTGCGTTCGGGTGTGCGTGCGTGCGTGCGTGCGTATGTGTATGTGTGTGATGAGGATGAGTGAATTGGGAGAGAAAGAGAGGGAGAGGGGAGTTAGAGAGTCAGAGAGAGCGAGAAAGAGAGAGTGCGTGAGAGAGAGGGGAGAGAGAGAGAGAGGGGGGAGAGACAGAGAGAGAGTGCGTGTGTATGAGAGAGATGGAGAGAGGGGGAGAGAGGGAGAAAGGGAGAGAGGGAGAGAGGGGAGAGTGAGAGAGAGAGGGGGAGTGAGGGAGAGAGAACTAGAAATAGAGAGTGCGTGTGTGTGAGAGAGAGAGATAGAGTGAGAGAGAGCGAGAGAGAGAGAGGGAGGGAGCGAGAGGGAGGGATGGAGAGAGATAGAGGGAGAGAGAGAGAGAGGGAGAGAGAGAGAGAGAGAAAGAGGGAGAGAGAGAGAGAGAGAGGGAGAGAGAGAGCGCAGAGAAGGTAGAGAAGGAAGGAGGTTCGTGCGAGTAGGGGGAGATCGGTGAACTCGCTGTGTGTCTGTCTGTCTTTCTGTCTCTCTACTATATATACACACCAACCTGCGTAAACATAGAACACCAGTAGTTGCGTGTTGTTGCTATAGAAACACATGACGTGTTGATATAAGGGCCCTTTCAATTGTGATCAAGTAAATGTCATTGCGTTATCAATCAATGCGAACAAGATAAGGCACGTAAAATAGGTTAATAAAAATTAGGCAAAAAGAAATGATACATAGTACAGCTAACTAGAAATATAGTATATAATATGAAATATATAATAAAATAGCTTACTAGAATATATTCATATATATAATGCATGCAGTAAATATAACAAGGAAATGTATGTAGAAAAGTTGACAAACACATCGCATCGGTACCAAGAAATACGAGGTTTACTAATTAGGTAAGAGAACATTTACGTAGTGCAGGTAACAAAAATATATAATAGAACTATCACATATATAGGTGACGGTATGTATAATAACGTTATAACATATTATATAGGTGATGGTCTGTCTAATAAAAGTATCACATATATATGTAACGGAATGTCGAATACAGGCATCACATATATAGGTAACGGAATGTCGAATACAGGCATCACATATATAGGTAACGGAATGTCGAATACAGGCATCACATATATAGGTAACGGAATGTCGAATACAGGCATCACATATATAGGTAACGGAATGTCGA